GGCCGCGCCCCGGGCCCGGTCGATGGCCGGCGGTTTCGTAACCGCCCTGACGTCAGGGTGACGCAGGAGCGCCGGGCCTGGGTCAGAGTCCACCGCCCGCGCGGGGGGTCCCCGTCCGGCGAACCGGGGGTCCCGGCGTTTTGCCTCGGGCCGGGCAGAAGGCCCGGGCGGGGCTGCCGGTGGGGAAGGGCCGGCGTCTCCGGTGAGGAGGCGGAACGGCAGCCGGTGGTGCCTGCAGCCCCGCCTGCCCCGGCGGACCCCGTGCAGGGGGAGGCACTCGCCCGGAAGTCCAGCAAGCAGGCGTGCGTCCGTCTGTCCGTCCGTCCGTCCGGGCCACCACAACAGCTCCAGGTGCCTGAAGCGGCGGCAGCAGCAGCAGCAGTCCCGGCTGCCGGCCTGCGGCACCGAGACGGCGCTGGGGCGGCGTGACCCGTGTCCGCAGGCCGGGATGGTCCCAGCACCGTGTCCCCCCCAGGCCCCCACCTCACGGAGCTGTTGGGGTCTCCAGCTCCCTCAGTGCAGCCTGACGCCGCCCACCCCAGCAGGACCCGCAGCACCCCAGTCCTGCCTTGCCAACCCGGATCCACTGGGAGTCCAGGAAGACCTGGGAGACGTAGTGCTCCAGGAGGAGCGGGAAGCCGACCTCGAGCTCTGCCCGCAGCACCTGCCCGTGGTGGGGGAGCACGTCCAACCGGCTGCACCAGGGCACGAATTGCCAGTACTCCCCCACATCAGCCACCAGCCCGTAGATCTGCTCCGCCGAGTACCTGGGCCGGAGGCACTGGTCAGGGCAGGGGTCAGGGCTGGAGGCTGCATGGAAGACTTGCCCCAGGACCCACCACTCCCGGTGCCTGCCAGGATTAGGAATGGCTGCACTGGCTGCACCAGTGGGGAATGGGGATGCTGACACACCTGGAGGGCCCAGGGGATCAGAGAGATGGCTCTGCCGCCTGCAGCGCCCCAAGCAGCGCCTGGCCGTAGCTCGTCTCTGCCCCACTGGTACCGAGGTGGGATGGTCTCATGCTCCCAGTGACATCACAGGGTAGCACCAGCAGCAGGACTGGCCATCCCCACCCTGCCCAACTGGACCGACTTGGCAGCACCATGCGGGGCCCCAGCTTGGGGACTCCTAACGGCACCAAGTGTCTTGGGTGCTGTGACCCGCTGCCGGCAGCAGTCAGGAACCCCCCCCCCCCCCATCCCCCAGAGCCAGGGGTGATGTCCCACAGGCAGGGGCTCAGGCAGGGCAGGGGCCAGGGGCAGGAGAACCAGCTGCAGGGCGGGCTGGGGGGTACAGGGGACAGGACCAGCAGACAGACACTTACAGAGGCAGAAGGCTCTTTACTGTCCCACAGGGAGGTCCAGGTTCCAGCGCAGGCTCAGCCCTTTGGCCTGAGGAGCCGCTGCAATGCCCCCCCACCCCAAAACCAGGGTATGGCAGGATGCCCCCGGCCCCTCCACGGGGCTGGACGGGGTGGGTGGGTTCAGGCCCTGCGCTGCGCTCCTCCCCGGCACGGCTGGCTCACTGCCGGCGTGTGAGGCCAGGACATGGACCCTCGCCTCCCATCCCACTGGTGTGGGATCCATGGGATTGGCACATGACGGCCAAGAGGAGCGTGACCCCCTCACAGGCTGCACTTCTGGCTCAGGCGCTGCTGCAGGAGGTCCCAGGCCTTCTCCACCTGCCAGAGAGCCCATGTGGGGCGGCACCTCAGAGCCCGCAGCCAAGCCGGGGACAAGGCGAGCGGCACCACAGCAGGGGCAGGAGTCTTACACGAGGGTCCCACGCTTCCTGCCCCTTCCCTGCTGCATTTACATCCCTGAATTCATCCCTCATGGCTGTGCACAGAGGCAGCCTTGATGGTGAGCAGCACGCCCAGGCACACCATGCATGACCTGGGCACAGCACTGAGCCCTCCGGCACACGTCAGTCGCCTGCCTCCCCCTTTGCCACCTGCGACAGACCCCAGTGCTGCAGCCAGCCCGGGGCTCACCTGCTTGCGGGTGACATCCGGCTCCCAGAGTGTGCACAGCACCACCTGCGACTGCTCCACCCTTTGGCTGTTGGTCATCTGGCTCTGCAGTCGGCTGCGAGCAGCCTCTTCGCTCAGCCCGTCCCTGGCCATGATGCGTTTCACAGCCTGGCAGGACCAGAGGGGACACTCAGTTGCTCGGAGGGGAAGCCGGGAACCAGCCCCAGCAGCAAGCGATGGGCCAAGGGGCATCGCCCACCTCCTCCTCTGGGATGATGGCCGTCCACACCTCATGGACCATGTCTTGCCAGCCAGCCTCCAGCAGCACAGCAGCGTCCAGCACACACACGGCCTTACCTATGGAACGAGGCCATTCCTCATTACCTGGCAATCGCAAGGCGGCGCGACTGCTCCTCATAGTCCAACCCAGCCCGTCCACTTATGCTCGCAGAGTCACGCCTTCCTGCAAACTGGCAGCACAGACGCTTTACTGCTGAGCCAAAGAACCTCGCGTGGAAAAGAGCGTAGCAGGCAAAGGCTGTGTTTGCTTAAAGGGCACACCTGGGATGGCAGGTCTCCCAGGCACGGCAAGCCAATGCCTTCAGCCAAATGCCTATAGAGCTACCAACAGCACCTTCCAAGAGCTGGAAAAAGTCTGCTCCCAGAAGGAGCAGACTCGCTGCTAGAGCACTACAGCAAAAATGAACTTGAAGCCTCTGTGACAGACTGAAAGAGTTAATATCTCAAACATTGTGGTGGGGCAAGTTCTGCTTAAAGACAAACCAAGCAAGGAACCAAGGTGAAAAGACCATCAGCAACAGGAGGGGGAGGGTGTGCTGGAGGGTGCGCAGGTCCCTGTTCTGATAAGCTGTTCTGATACAAAGATCAAACAATGGCCGTGTCTGCAGGGAAGGAGAAGTTATTCCACAAACGACCCCCAAGCCCAAAAGCTCACAAACTGCTCATTAACCTGAGGAGTTTGGGTGCCCACCCGAAGGAGGGGCAAGGATGATAAAAGGACACAAACTGAAGCCCCGGCGCACAAGCCCACCGGGACTGGACACCTTGGCTGACTGAACCAACGCTGGGCCCAGGTTCGGTGAAATCTTTCTCTCTTCCTTTCTCTCTCTCTGTCTTCTTCTCTTTCCTTTTCCAAATCTCTACACCTCATCCGTTTCAAGATATAAACCGTTGACCAAGTCTGAGACTAAGAGTGGATCCAGCCGCCCCTAGACCATTCTCTACGGAGGAGTCTGGAAAGCAAGGGGGTCTGCTCTGAACCTTGTGACTCAATGGAAGGGATCTCCTTATTCCCTGAATTGATGTATATGGTTACAGGGTTTACAGAAGTAGTCTTATGCCAATTCCTGTTGTGAGAAACCCTGCCACCTACTACCGTGCCTCCCTAGTTCCATTTGCTTCTGTCATAAATAAAATCTTTAACTGATTGTTTGGTGTCGTTTCACCTTAATTTAGCCCAAGGGAATTTCAAATTAAACACGAATCCCTGGTCTGTCCAGTCTTGGTTGCGACAGCCTCGTAGGAAAGAGAAAGCAACCTCCACCCTCCTTCAGAGTAGGAAGCTTGATGTAAGCCTGTCCCAGCTGCCAGCCCAGCTGTGTGGAGGGGTTTGCTCAGAGATGTGCCAAGTGAAAATCCTCAGCAAGCTGCCCAGCAGAGAATAGGGGTGTCTGAGCGTCGAAAATATTCACGGTGGTGCCAAAAGCAGCAGATTCCCAGTGGCTCTGGGTCGTGGTGTGCTGCACAAGACCATGCACCCAACTCCCACCTTTGTGCTACGATGGGAGCTGCCCCAGTTACCTTGAGCATCTGCCTCCCCAATCTGCTCCTTGACCATCTGGGCCATCTCAGGCCACACAATGTCCGTGAGACTCTTCAGCCGCTCCTAGAAAGGACCACGACAGGATTCAGTTACTTGCCCTCAGAACCTCAGGGCAGCCCACAAGAGGATCGCTGGTGGCAGCGGCAGTCACAGGGAGCACCCAGAAAGAACCTGCTAAAGCACAGGGGATGGACCCAGCCCATCGCCTGCTCACTAAGCACAAGGAAGAAAAACTTCCACGTGGGCCAGAGGCTCCCATGCCCGCTGATGGGGTCAAGGCTCTTTTTACTATTATTTTCCTTGCCCTGCCAGGCACAGCAGAACCTCGGTCTCTGCTGCAAGAGGTGCTTTGCAAAGACACCCCCCCCCCAGCACAGCGAGCTCTCCACGCAGCAGAATCCACATGTGACCTGTCTGTCTTGGGGGAAGCCCTCGAGCTGCCTTCATGCTTGGGCTGGGGCAGCCTGCAGGACCTGAGCAAAAGGCTGAACACCGGCCTGGCCAGCAAAGCCAGGCGCAGAGGGTCAGGTTCGGCTGCCACATCACCAAGGCTCATGGGGTACAAGCCCAAACCACACAAGGGTCAGAGAGCACCAGCTCTGCATATGTCCAGCTGGGTAAAGGACAAGCGTGGGACAGAGGGGATGAGGATGGGGATGGGGAAGCAGCAGCAGCTGCCAGGGCGAGAGGAGCGTGTCCAGCATGGCTGCTGACTCAGCTACAGAGATGGGATCTCTGTGTCCTGCCCTGTCCGTGCATCACTACCAGAAAGTACAGTCAGGAACGCATCATCAGCTAAAAGGGCTGAAAAATAAAAATCCTCAGCACAGATGGAGAGCTCCCTGCTCATGAGATTAAATATTGACAGTCTCTGTGCCGCTCTTACCTGGTTCCCAAACACTTTGGCCCCAAGGACTTTCCTGTTAATTGTCCCATCTTCATTCAAGATTTCTGCAAGACAGAAGCAGAACAGGCTTGGGAAGAATTAATCCCACACTCTTCCCTGCGGCAAGCCTAGGTTAGAGTGAAAGGATTTCAGCACGGGGTTCTCAAAGGGACCCAGAAAGGAGCTGTAGGACCTGACCTGGCAGCTCTTCACCTTACTCTAGAAAAGGACGGGGAAGAGCTTTCCCTAGACAAACGGCAGCCCAGTTTAGCCTTCCACACCAGCCAGTTTACAGTAGCTCTGATGTGGGACGTGCAACACTTCAGGAAAGCAGTGGTTTGCCCCGCTTGGGGCCAACCATCACCAAATCAGTTACGGAGCCCCATCTGGGTGGTGTGGAGCCCAAAACCCCCGGGCAGGGAGCGGGAGCGCAGGCCAGGACAGCTCCCTGGGACGCTAGGATGATGGCACACCCCTCCCTCCTCTTCCTCCTCCCAGTCTTCCCTGCAGTCTTCGGTGGCTCTACCTGCCCCAAAGGCTGCCACCACCTGCTCGTAGGCAGGGCCACCAGGGACATAGACGGCGTGGCCCAGCTTGTCAGCGTCGATGAGGAATGCTCCCAGGTGCCCCAGGAGTTTGGCGATGGAGGTTTTCCCACTACCGGTTCCTCCAGTCAGGCCGATCACATATGGGCGCGAAGGCAAGGCAGGGTCTTGCTAAGGGAAGAAGGAAAGCCATTGCCAGCAGACAGAGGACGTGGGCTCTGCTGGAGAAGGATCCCGACTACCCGGCCTGGAGATGGGTGTGAAAGGTCCTGGCCCGGCAGAGCAGGGGCCTGCTCCTGCTGGGGGGCCAGTACAGGCAGCAGGCAGGCAGTCCTCCACAACTCGTCCCCCTGCAGCAGGGAGAGGAGCTGGCTCTTCAGTTCCCAAGGCTGCCACCCCTCCTCCCAGGTACTCTCTTCCCATCACAGCCCACGGCTCTCCAAGCAATCCCCCTCACCCGCGGGGGCCGCAGCAGTGTCCCCAGCAGCCTCTGCCGGAGGCTGGAGGAGCTGATCTTCTCCTCCTCATTCTGACTGTGTTCGGGGTCCTTCATCAACAGGATCTCGTAGAGAGCCAGCTCAGGGAGCCCCTGGCAAGAGAAGAGAGTGCTGAGGGGAGGGCCGTCAGCCCTGACAGCCGCAGCAGAGGGAAGGGGGCTCAGCGGGAGGTCAAGACCTGAACAAAATAGCGCAAATGAGGCCGCGGCCGCCCCCAGCATCCCCACGGGGCAGCTCCGTCCCTGCGAGGGGCACGTTCCCAGCAGCCAAGAGGGGAAGGGAGCCCACAGAGCTGCCCATCTGACCCCAACCCTCCGCCCGCCCGCGGTGATGCCGCACGCAGAGGCTGCTGCACCACCCTTGGGGCGCACGCGGCTGGGACAGCTCGGCACAAAGCACCCATCTGCAGGGTGCCGGCAGATGCGCATGCTGGCATCCTGCTCTCAAGCCCGGGCCGCGGCACCGAGCAGCCGCTTCTGCTCACCGAGACCCGACTTGCCCACGGGCAGCGGCAGGCAGGGGTGAGAGGGTGGGAAGGGGCAGCCCACCGGGCTCCTGCGCAGGCATTACGTTTTCAAGTCTCTTCTTGTTCACGGCCTCCCCTCCTCTGCGGGTCTCCTCACTGACCACCAAGCACTGCAGGTCAGGGTCCGTGACTGAGGGGCCGTAGGGGTCGACCAGAGGCACGATGTCGTAATGCAGCGAGGGCTTCACGTCCTCCAGGAACTCACGCAGCTTTGCCGCTCGCAGCTCGTACGGCTCGATCAGCTCCATCAGGACCTTGTCTGCCGGGCGCCAGCAGGGAGAAGCAAGAAAGCGGTCCGTTCAGCAAGGCGCAGGTCCCGGAGCGGCGGTGGAGAGCGAGACCGGGAGACGGAGACAAAACCCATCCGTGACTTTGGGAGGCTGCCTCCTCCGGCTCCCCTCGCCCCCGCTGCGCCCTCAGCTCCGCATCAGCTCGCCTCGCTCGCCGGCGCGGACGGGACGCCGGGTCCCCACCGTCACCCCATCCCGACAGCACTGCCCAGGCGCTCCGGGCGCGTGGCTGCCGGGACCCCGCGCCCCACCGGGCCCCCAGGCCGCGGCACCGGCCCCTCTCACTGCCC